CCCAACACACACACAAACATGCACACACACACATTATGCTTGCACTCACAAACAGGCTCACAGTCACATGCATAATATAAATGAACAGTAATATAAACAACAATAATGTTAAGATGGATACATACTCAGTAGTATTCTAATTGTAACTCGCTGGTATTCTGATGCAGGCTCTAATGTCATGTGAATACTTATAACAAAATATTTATGATGGCAGAAGTTTGATGGATGGTGGTAAGAATGACCTTCTGTATCTTTTTTTTGCTACAGATCAGAAGCCTAGGTCTTTTACTTCTGACTAATATTTTTATTTGAGCAAACAAGGGATGTTTATTGTCCAAAAGGGTGGAATTAATTTTTGTAGTGCTACTTACCTACTTACTAACTACCCGTCACGACATCTGGCGTTTAGGGCAGCAATAAAGGCTCTCCAGCTCTGCCTGTTTTGGGCCATCTTGGTCAACGTCTCCCACGAGTGGTTCCAGGACTTCATTTCAGACTCTACTGTGTGTCTCCAGGTCACTTTAGGTCTGCCCCTCTTGCGATGTCTTTCGGGTGTCCAGTGAAGGGCAGTTTTGCAATAGAGTCTGGTTTCTTCTCAGATCATGCCCAGTCCATCTCCATTTTCTCCTTGTTATTATGGTGGTCATGTCCTCTTGCCGGCATTACCGTAAAAGATCTGCGTTGGAAATCTTGTCGTGCCAGAAGATTCGGAGGATTTGTCGTAGGCTGGTTGTATGAAAAGAAGATAACTTGGCACGATCATGATATGTCATCCTTCAGCATTCAGATACATATAGGAGTGTGGATAGTACACAGCTGTTGTACAGCTTTAACTTGGTCTGTATACTGTTTTCTAGTGCAAGCTAGTATAATTCATCGAAGTAGGGGAATGTAGATGTTGAAATTTTGCATGCTTTCCGTATTAATCCATTCAATTTTTCTTTATCTTGTTGTCTGTTGTCTTGTGCTCCCGGCACAGGCTGTTATACAGAAATTGATCGTACATTCTATGATTGAATGATTAAATGTGAACATCAATGATTTATCAATTTAAAACCAATCACAACAAAATAACTGAGAAAAAAAGCAAAATAAGCACAGAGCGAAGTGAACACACCCAGTCGCCACTGAGTAGCGCCCAAAACAGAGAGAGAGAGAGAGAGAGAGAGAGAGAGAGAGAGAGAGAGAGAGAGAGAGAGAGAGAGAGAGAGAGAGATGGAGAGAGATTAGTATTCGAGTGTCAGTCAGAGAG